ATCCTAGAGTATCCTAGGATCCTAGATGGAATATCCTAGGATCCTAGAGGAAATATTCTGGAGTATCCTAGGATCCTAGGTGGAATATTCTAGAGTATCCTAGGATCCTAGATGAAATATCTTAGAGTATCCTAGAATCCTAGATGAAATATCCTCTTGTATCCCTCATAACGTTATCGTCAGATATCTATAAATCAATCACAATGAAGATTTAGACGCATGTTTTTCTCTCGGCATTTCCGTAGAAAGTAAGAAATTTAGATGTATCTAACTTCATTTCAATATGTTAATATAGAAATCCTTTTTTTCATTGAAAAAAGGATGAAATTGGCCTGGATTGCCTGAATTTGTTCGCGGCTCTCGATATATATGAGATATGAAGCTTCAGAGTCGTAACGATGCATACAAAAATGCTAAAGAGTAACGACGAAATTGGTGAGCTTTTCCAGTCAAAATTTACTTGAAGTAATTATTATCTGGTATTCATGCACTTTATATTTTATGCGTCTATTCCATTGTTATTCCCACACTTAAAGTTGTTGTTCCCACATTTGAAGCTATCCAGTTCAATACTTTGTTTTGTTCATTTTAGTTCATAGAAGGAAAATAATTCGTTTGTCTGTTCACAGTAATACATTGATTCTGTCCAAGGTTTCTAAGACAGGCACACATAATTTGATTCAAACCTGCTCCAATATTCGAGATGAACATCATTTTCTGAAAACATTAGAATACTGTAGGGGAAATTACACGTGTACTTTTATCATTATTATGCATGTAATTAGAAATTTTACTTGGTATTTATTTATCGTTGTGAATCTTTTTATTGCCATTTTAGTTCAGAATTATGGGAAGGATGAATGCGGAATGTGTATGTAAAGATGAGATTCCTGTGCGGTGTGAGGCTCAAAGGCTGAGTTATGTTTAAAGCGTGTTAGGTCCAGACGAGTATTAGTAAATTGGTATATGTAAATTCATGTAAATGATTTATCGGTATGCATTGTGTGATTGATATTTTTACTTATTGAGTTTATGAGTCGGTAGCTTAATTAATGTTTATTTTCTTTTTATTAGGAAGCCTAGAGATATACAGTCTCCTCAACCGTTTGTACGGCGATGATTATTAGTCTTCACCGCACGTGGAATGTTTATAGTAATGAGAAATATTGCGCTGTAGAGTGATTTTTAGTGAAGGAAATAGTAGCAACAACAGAATCCAATACGATCACGTACGTAGGCCGAGTTTGCGTATTCCAGTGATAAACATGTAAGAGAAAACCACCAACAACTTCTAAAACGAATATATTGAATTAACTTGGATTATTGTCATGTGTTGCAAAGCAGGATGCTAAAGTTTTTATAAAAAATGTAATTTTTTTTTAAAATTTTGCCTATCTAATCAGCGTTTGCGCTCACGCGGCTTTCGTCTGCAAGTCACGTAGCTGGAGCAAGCTTCCGCAAATTTTTACAAGCTTCTGAAATTTTTGAGGGGAACGATACACTACAATATTTGCATTTGGAACTTTCGGGAGAGATCCAAATTATAATGAAGTGGTTCAAAATGTTTTACTTGACTAAAAAATATCACCTGAAATGCACCATAAAATCTTTAAATATAAGCCGTTAGTGTTTTCGTTTAACAATCTTTTGAGATTCTCAAACATGAGTCTTAAAAATCTGACACGAGTAGACCTAAAAATAAAAAAAAAATCTTCTCAAACATGAATTTCAGTAGTCTTAAAAATATGAGCCTGAATAATGAGTCTTAAAATATGGTCCTGAAATAGTCTTGAATAATATGAGCCTAAACGCTGACGTTTGTCTTTGTTTACCTCCTCGAAGACCTGCGGAGTGGAGGGGCCGTGAGGGGTCTTAGCGTCAAAGACAGGCGCCCTGCGATGGTCTTTATGGCTCCTTGAGGCCTCACTTGGCCGCTCACCCAGACTTGCCGCGACAAATATGGTGACGAGCTCTGCAAATAATGATCACCTTCACAACCTGAGGTGCTGTTATGGTGATGGGGTGACGACTTCTGCAAGTAATGATCCTAGATAATGATCACCTTCACAACCTGAAGGACTTTATGGTGATATAGTGACGGCTTCTGCAAGTAATGATCCTAGATAATGATCACCTTCACAACCTGAAGGACTTTATGGTGATATAGTGACGGCTTCTGCAAGTAATGATCCTAGATAATGATCACCTTCACAACCTGAAGGACTTTATGGTGATATAGTGACGGCTTCTGCAAGTAATGATCCTAGATAATGATCACCTTCACAACCTGAAGGACTTTATGGTGATATAGTGACGGCTTCTGCAAGTAATGATCCTAGATAATGATCACCTTCACAACCTGAAGGACTTTATGGTGATATAGTGACGAGCTCTGCAAATAATGATCACCTTCACAACCTGAGGTGCTGTTATGGTGATACTTCACAACCTGAAGGACTTAATGGTGATATGGTGACGACCTCTGCAAGTAATGATCACCTTCACTGCCTGAGGTGCTGTTATGGTGACGAACTCTGCAAGTAATGATCACCTTCACAACCTGAGGTGCTGTTATGGTGACGAACTCTGCAAGTAATGATCACCATCACAACCTGAGGTGCTGTTATGGTGACGAACTCTGCAAGTAATGATCATTAGAACCTGACGTAATTTCCGTGCTGACCTTTTCATAATTTGTACTGGGAAATGTCAATACAGTGGCTGTTTCAATTGATTTTCACATCACTCATGAGACAATTATTATCATTTAATTTATTACACTTAAAATTATTTATGGTAACGTGGTATTAATGGTTCTGAAAAGCTTCCAGTTCATATTCTGTTTGTCTTTGTTTTTGCGTCTGAGGCTACTATTTACAACAACATCAAAAACCATAAAAAACCAAATGAAGTATTTCCCTTAAGAATCAATTAAGTGTAATCAAACGAACATATGAACAAAAATGCGGTAAACTTGTTTATTTTAAGTCAACATCAAATTTAAATGTCATTATATAGTCAAAATTTTATATATCCGAAAGATTACAAGTAACGAATGCATCCATGGATTCTGAAGTCTAATCGGAACTATGATTGGAATTTCTCATTATCGATGCCCCGGAGGTCGGTTTTACATAGACATTTGCATCACGAATTCCGCAGACAACATAGTTATCGCAGCGCGATAACGATGTAACGATACGATTGCGATACGATTGTCGATATAGTTACGATTTTGTAACGATACGATATAATTAACGATTCTAACGATAACGATGTTCAGGCTAGAACGATGCATCGTTCTAACCTGAAATTCAATCAAGTTTGGCCAAATTTTATCATAATAACCCATAAATTTAATAAATAAATCCAGTGAAAACTTGAGAAATTTAGATGGTAAATAATTGCTGAAAAAATTGCCCGGACAAGTTGTAAAATTTTAATGGACAAGGCGCCTCATGCAGTCAAACGTGTCCACTGATTCAAACATTCGGTAGATACATGTATAGCATCCCGCTGTTTATTCGCGAAAGTGTAATGATGTTAACTATTACATTATTAGTCATAGTGATAATAACGGTTATAAGAAAATGACAACACTTTTAACTTCGAAACGGACATTTTTTAACATTGAAACGAAATGATGGAGAATTCCAATAAATATTTTTATACACAAGGATTTTCAAATGAATACCAATATATTGATTATTATGATATTAATAATTAGGTTCAATTAATGAATAACCTTAGATTCGTTTAAATCTTCAAATTCGCTGCTGCAAAAATCATTTTCAAAATCAAACCATCAAAATTCTGTGCAAAAATCAAACCACCAGAATAAAAATAGATTTTTTGAATAAAAAACTCAAATATTTTCATAAAACAGCGAAAGGTTACAAAAGTTTCGCATTCTTCCTTCCATTTACTGCACGAATTAGAACCGACTCGTAAAGGACTATTGTGCAGCGACCGTAGCGCAAATCGTTCTTCCAACTTTCACTGCGGAAAATTTTATACGGAAAGAAATGCCGCACATAATTTTTGAGGCATTGGAAAGAATTATTCTCATGGAATATCAAGATATCTGGATTATGCGATATATGAATTATACTTAATCGTTTGAAAGGTCATACAATTATTTACAAGTAGAGTATGGTGTGCGCTGTGCCGCTGTGGACAGACGAACCTGAATAGTTTAGAATAGTTTACGCTCATGAATTGGTTTTTTATGTCACGCTGATAAAAAAGAGAGTTCAGTGGTTAACTGAAATAAAAATGAAACTATATTCCTCCCCTCACTGGGAAAGAAAAGAGTGGTTTTTCAAATGTTCAATACTATGGTCGGTGTCGCTACATTTCGAAAATATACTGATTGTGACGAATTTTATTACATTTTAATGATAAATAATTGATATGTTCAACCGTTTTAAGCTAATTATACACTAAAAATTTTGACTTGATTACTAAAAACTTTTAATTGAGGTTAATGTTAATCGTTGTCATTGAACAACGAACAAATTTCCACATTCAAATTATGAGATCTATCAATGACGCGTTCGTCTTCAAAGTATCCTACGATTTTATGCTGATCAGATATACACAATTATTTTCAGCGATGGAATAAAAATTCTAAGCTAGACATTCCTAGAAATTGTTTTTAATTCTAATTCTGAAAAAGCATAATGAGGGATGGAATGATACTACGCCTTTGAATGAATAAGAAATGGAAGCTTAACATTATCAAGATTGCTGAGTGAAGAATTGGGAAGCAGTAAATAAGTTTTATTTTGAAAATGATGGAAAACCCTTGTTGCCAAACATTTGCGAAGGTTTAGTTGATAAATAAATTTTTCTTCAGTTTCAGACGCCGGAGAAGGCGAAACGCAGCGAAAATTTACATGAACTAAAAATAGTATACGGCGCACGATAAGTTTAGAAACAAACGAACTTAAGTGTCTCACTGGCCTGTGTCTCAGTGAAGAGTTCAATACAGGTCTCATTTACCCGAGTCTCAGTGAAGAGTTCAATAAGGGTCTCACTGACCTGCGTCTCAGTGAAGAAGTCACCGGGCGCGTGAGACGTCGCCGGGTATCCGATAAAGTTTGTAGGTCCGTGCCGACAAAGCCCAGCCTGCGGCATATGAAAACATCACTCAATTAAGGGCAAAATCAGGTCCATTTATGGTCTCAGTTTTCTGTATTTCACACTCTTCAGCAGTGGCCTCCAACTTCCTCTCGCCCTTGGACGCCTTGAGATGATCTAATCCGCACTCCGGTGGGAAGCGTCCCGTAAAAAAATATAGCGGTGTTAGTGTTGAAAAATGGGCTGGCCAACGGGACTGTCGCCTATTATGAACATCACAGTTGGCTGCGAGTCTCGAACCCATAACTCGCTGCTGCAGTCAAGATGATCTGAAGCACTCAACCACCCCACAGTCAAACATCGTACTACATGGTAAACATTTCCTTGCCACTCGCGCCATCTCCACAAAGCATGAATATTCTTCATCCCTTATCTCATTTGTGTCATGCGCGGCATTCCTTTCCCTCCTGTCACATATGTATTAAAAGAAAAGCGCTGAGGAGGCGGGGGGTGCATGCAGGAATAATATGTAATCATAATTCAAACACTTGAGATAACGACGCGACTTGAAAACGCCGCAAATATATCAGATAAGACAGCAACTTGATCGGTTCTGTGTATCAGAGGCCGGAGCTTACCTACCATGCAAGAACACCGGCCTTTCATGTGTCTAAATTCTGGTGTGTCATCGGCATGCAAGTGTTATACCTTCTCGAGTGTGGCCTTTCAGTGAGGAATGCGTCTGGGCATTCATAGAAATCAACTTCTTATTAAGCAATCTAATAATTCATTCATCAATTGAAGTATAAGCGTTCTTTTAAATTCATGTTAGCCGTCGTGCATTATCCAGTAGCTCTCAACTCTGGTCTGGACCGTGCAGCGAGTGAACAGATGCTGGGTTAATTGAATGCTTTAATTTCACTAATGAAGAAAAGTCTAAACGCATTTAGATTCAGCATGATGATGATATATTGACATGGAGGACTGTTATTGTTGAAATTATACTTCAAGTGATTGGTATATCAGTTGAATTACTTAATCCGACTATAGAATTCAAGCGGCACAGTGTGTAAAGAGAACTTTTCGAGAAATCCCTTCGCAAATGCTTAATCTTACTATATAATTCAAGCGGCACAGTGTGTAAAGAAAACTAATCGAAAAATCCTTTTAAAAATGCAAAATGCCAAGAAAACTTTTCGAGAAATCCTTTTGAAAATGCAAAAAATAGCAATGCATTTTAAACGCGTGCACGGATCAGTTTTCACTCACCGTCCCCAGATGTGACCAAAGCCCCAACAGCCGCGGAGGCGACGCTGGCACAGCCCTTCATGCTGGACCCGCCGTTGGGGAAGAAGTCCACGTGGCCCAGACTCCCCAGGTACCCGAAGTGGCCGCCCAACAAAGACCCCGCGTCCGTGTGGATCACGTCTACGAACACCGCGTCGCTCGGGTCCAGGCGGCCGGACGGTCCGCGGCTTATGAACATCGGACCCGCAGGATCTAGACCTGTCGTGATGACATTTGATTTCAGCTAGAGTGGGATTGAAAAAAAAATTAAAATATATAAGTAAATACATATTAATTAATAATAATAATAATATTTTTTAATATGTATAATGCTTCAATAAAATTCTATCACAAATTTGTCAGCATAAATGGCAGACAAATTTTTAAAGTAAATTTTGAAATACTCTACTGCTAAAATTATTAATCGAGAAAAAATATCTAAAATGTAATTTAATTAACATTACATTATAACATTGTCCTTCTTTATATGGCTCGTAGAACCTGGTATTCGGCTTATAAAACTATTTGTTGCGCTAACACCACTCATCCCTAAAACTTTCAAATTTTAAAAACGTCAAAAAGCAAAAAAATGCATACAGAGCAATTTAAAATATTGACCAGTAATGCGACCGATGCCTGGAAAAGCAGCGCCTGCAGCCCCCGCCACGTGCGCGCCGAGGCTGTAACCGATCACATGTGTCTTGTTTCTGTCCAGCCCCGCCTCAGCCTGCCGTAACACGTGAAACAAGAGATACCATCAATTCTGGGATTGATATTTGTCGAACAGATCCAGAAATTCCAGGGATGAGAAATGCTGGAGGATTGCTTGGAAGTGAAATGGGCAAACAGATCCAGAAAATAGTCCTGACGAGGGGGCAGAGAAAATGGAAAATTCCAGAGAGAGGGAAATGCTGGAGGATTGCTTATGAACGTGAAACAAAGGATACCTTCAATTCTGGAATTGATATTGGTCGAACAAAACCGGAAAATAGTCTTGGCGAGGAGGCAGAGAGAATGGAAAATCCGAGAAAAAAATGCTGGAGGATTGCTTATGGACGTGAAACAAAGGATATCTTCAATTCTGGATTTGATGTTGGTCGAACAGATCCAGAAAATAGTCTTGGCGAGGGGGCAGAGAGAATGGAAAATTCCAGGGAAAGGAAAATCCAGGAGGATTGCTTGGAAGTGATATTGGTCAAACAGATCCAGAAAATAGTCCTGGCGAGGGGGCAGAGAGAATGGAAAATCCGAGAAAAAGGCTGTAACCGATAACATGTGTCTTGTTTCTGTCCAGCCCCGCCTCAGCCTGCCGTAACACGAGAAACAAAGGATACCTTCAATTCTGGAATTGATATTGGTTAAAAAGATCAAGAAAATAGTCCTGGCAAGGGGGCAGAGAAAATGAGAAAATTCCAGAGAGAGGCAAAGGCTGGACTATTGCTTGGAAATGAAATGGGCAAACAGATCCAGAAAATAGTCCTGGCGAAGGGGCATAGAGAATAGGAAAATCCAGAGAAAGGAAAATGCTGGAGGATTGCCTAAATATAGTAGAATGGGAGGCCATTGCTCGCGAATGATCATGTAGATACCTCATATGCATTAGGAAATACATACTAGTACTTTATATAACTTACAACAAAATATTGTTCTTCTAGTATAGGTACCATATTCTATTTGAGTAAAGTTTTAACGAGTAGTTTATTACAGATTTCATTCTTTGCTTAAGGTGATAATCTCGAAGCCTTATAAACTGTGTTAGTTAGCTCGCAATGAATATATATTGAACACGTACTTCACAGTGAAGCAATCAGAGATTCCAAGGGCATGAATTCTAAATTAAATTATTCCATGTGCTAAAAAAATAATTATTCCAAGTTAGAGGATCCTCTTCTGCCTTTATTTAATGCAGCAAAAAATTTTCACAAATGAAACTGAAAATAATTCGCAGTGGGACTCGATTTTGAAGGATGTCGTGTTCTTTTGATTAAGTCTCTGAATTGTTGCGTGACGGTGAATGACGGAAGGCTTAAAAATTAAGAAAGAGTTTCCAAAGCAAGAAAAAAAATCTGTTTCTATTCGAGTACGAACATACTCGGGAAAAATATTTTGGTGGAAATAAACGCCATCTAGCAAGATTATTCTGCATGTTAATGGAATCAAAAAAGAGTTACAGATCACGAAAAGTTTTGGTGCATTAAATCCGTTCACTTGACGCAATTGGTTTTCACAATTACTCATTGACTGAAAGATAGCTGATAGCAATCGATGACGTTTATCAGGATTGGTTTCCGCAAGTACTCAATGACTAAAACATTGCTGATGGCAATCGATGGCATCTTACGTTTGGTCCAATAGTTCTAATGACAGGCTTTGGCAAAGACATATCGCATTAATAGTCTATATTGATGAAATGATCAGTCTATGAAACGAACAAGACATACTTAGTCAATGGATCATGTCATGTCCTCCTTCGAAGTCAACTGAATCGCTGCTATCTTAAGCTCAGCAAGTTTTGACCCACTATATTTGGGTCGAGATTAAGCTAGGGATTTAACAGCAATGCATGGCAGAAGTATAGAAGCTTTAAAAGTAGCTATAAATAAATGACTGAGGTTCCGGGATGAACGAGTTTAAAAAATGTGGTTTCGGGTAGAACAAAATCAGAAGATACATTAGTTTCATTTAGACATGTTCAATTTAACTGCTCGCTATAATAAAGCGTTGTTTTCATTGGTAAGCCTAAACTAGAATTATTCACTATTAGACGCATAACTAAATGAATTCAGATATTGGTAATACATTTTAATAGTCACGTAGCCCTACATTCTACTTCTTTGTCGGCTCTTTAATTATTGAATTAAATACAATTATTAATGCAACTAATTATTAGGGTTTCCTTCGGCAGTTTACTGACGGTTAGGCATGCATAAATTAAGCAAATCGCAGTCCGCATTACTGCGATAGGCGCGACAGGCCTACATCCCAGTAAAAATTTACAGACGCGGCAGCTTCTGATTTGGATTACCAGAAGCTGGGGCGACTCTAAATTTTGTTAGGGATTTCACCTCAATGAAGGCGAGCAGTGCAGCGAGTTCACCGCCCACGAACTGTACGTTGTCAACCGCAGCCGCGTAGAGGCCGTCGCAGAGCGCTGCCCAACGCAGCAGCAGTACGTTCATGGCAGCCTGTTGATGGTCATGTCTTAATAGAATAGAATAGAATAGAATAGAATAGAATAGAATAGAATAGAATAGAATAGAATAGAATAGAATAGAATAGAAGTGTCGGCGTTGAAGAAATAGGCCCATGGCCTGTTGCCGATTCTTGAACTTTTCGTGACTTGATTCACAAGGGATCCGGCCTTTGGAACCCGATCTTTCCATAACTGACGATTGATTGAGATAGCTGCTGGACTTATTGCCTGGTCTGTAAGTTGCTGGGCATTTTAAGACTGAACTTGTGCATTTGCATAGCTTAGATGGTCATGTCTTTATGACAAGGTTTCTGATAAGTCAATAAAAACACTGCTATACGGCAAAATTTTGTTTGCCAACAACATCGTTACGGTTAGAACAGTTTCCATTTGATGATGGGATTTGCAAGATATCGTCTCAATATCGTCACTTAAGTTTTCAATTAATGGTCGTGGTAGTGAATTAATCACAGCGAATTAAAATTTTAATCAAACCCAAATTGGTAGTGATTTAACATTTCGTGCCAGAATTAGTAGAAATATTTATATATTCTGCTTCTCCAACTTGTGTGTGGAAAGAATGGAAAAATGAACTAAATAATATACCATAAAATAATAATAAATAATATATTAATAAATAATGTACCAGAAGCAAAATATTTTAATGATAAAACGCTATAATTTTCCATTGTAACGATCAATTTTCTTGGTGATGTTATTGTTATAACATGTGTATTCCATCGTAACAAATAATTATCCTTCTGTATGTTGACTGTCGTTCCTAGAACTCTAAAGGTGCGGGATCAAACGATCTATTTACAGGGATGGATTTCTCTCACGATTTTGCATGGAAGAATTTAACCAGAATTTCATTATGATTTCATGCTAATGCTATAAATTTAGAAATATATTCTGTAATAGATGATCTCGGTCACGTAAGAAGCTATTACTCGCCCTCCTTTTCTGTTGCGTCTCCTCGTTTTGCGAACATCTCACGGCGGCACCCAATCTCTTGAATAAAGCATTACTCTTAAAGAATAAAGCATTACTTGAATAAAGCATTAGTCTTGAAGAAAAAAGCATTACTCATTAAATCATAACTCAGTAAAGCATTACTCATTGAAGCATTACTCATTAAAACATTCCTCATTAAAGAATTACTCATTAAAGTATTACTCATTGAAGCATTACTCATTAAAGAATTACTCATTAAAGCGTTACTCAATAAAGCATTACCTGAATAAAACATTTCTCAATCTCTTGAATAAAGCATTACTTTCAAAGAAACAGCAGCGAAGTACAACGATTTTTATTTTTTTTTGATAATCTTGCATTACATTCATTGAAAATATTACTTTACTTTATTGATAATATTTATATATTTATTTAAATATTTATCAATGAATATTTATATTTATTGATAATATTACTTACTTTATTGTACGACAGTGCAATTTCCAAATAAATTTAAATCCACCAATTTCTCTTCTTACCGATTAAATGTTTCTTCATGACTCCTGTGCAAGTTTGAGACGATACTTTTGCGTGAATCAAGCGTGGAAACTTGTAACTTACCTAAAATAATAACAAATTTTCGTTTCCCATTTCTTAGTTTCATGAGTTATTGGCTCGGTCAACATATATNGAGCTATCATGTACATGAATGTGCAGAGCTATCATGTACATGAATGTGCAGAGCTATCATGTACATGAATGTGCAGAGCTATCATGTACATGAATGTGCAGAGCTATCATGTACATGAATGTGCAGAGCTATCATGTACATGAATGTGCAGAGCTATCATGTACATGAATGTGCAGAGCTATCATGTACATGAATGTGCAGAGCTATCATGTACATGAATGTGCAGAGCTATCATGTACATGAATGTGCAGAGCTATCATGTACATGAATGTGCAGAGCTATCATGTACATGAATGTGCAGAGCTATCATGTACATGAATGTGCAGAGCTATCATGTACATGAATGTGCAGAGCTATCATGTACATGAATGTGCAGAGCTATCATGTACATGAATGTGCAGAGCTATCATGTACATGAATGTGCAGAGCTATCATGTACATGAATGTGCAGAGCTATCATGTACATGAATGTGCAGAGCTATCATGTACATGAATGTGCAGAGCTATCATGTACATGAATGTGCAGAGCTATCATGTACATGAATGTGCAGAGCTATCATGTACATGAATGTGCAGAGCTATCATGTACATGAATGTGCAGAGCTATCATGTACATGAATGTGCAGAGCTATCATGTACATGAATGTGCAGAGCTATCATGTACATGAATGTGCAGAGCTATCATGTACATGAATGTGCAGAGCTATCATGTACATGAATGTGCAGAGCTGTCAGGTACGTGAATGTGTAGAGCTATCATGTACATGAATGTGCAGAGCGATCATGTAAATGAATTTGCAGAGTTATAATGTACATGAATATATAGAGCAATAAGGTTCAGAGACGTACAGGGATTTTAGCTAGAGGAGCCTACAGAGCTGTAATGCATTATGAATGTACAGAGCTATCAGGTATAGAGACGCACAGAAATTTCAGGTAATGAAACCTACAGAGCTATCATGTACAATGAATTTACAGAGCTATAAGGTACAGAGACGTACAGAGATTTCAGATACAGTGACATACAGACCTACAGAGCTGTCATGTGCATGAATGTGCAAAACTATCAGGTACAGAGACGCACAGAAATTTTAAGCAGAGAAGCCTACAGAGCTGTAACGCATTATGAATGTACAGAGCTATAAGGTACAGAGACATAGAGATTTCAGATAATGGAACCTACACAGCTATAACATATAATGACTTTATAGAGCTATCAGGTACAGAGACTTACAGATATTTCAGGTAGATAAACCTACAGAGCAATCATGCACTAAGAATTTACAGCGCTATTAGGTTCAGAGACTCACAGTGATTTTAGGTAAAGAAACCTACAGAGCTATCACGTATTATGACTGTAAAGAGCTACCAGGTACAGAGATGTACAGAGATTTCGCGTAATGAAACCTACAGAGCTATCACTTATTATGACTGTACAGGGCTAACAGGTACAGAGACGCACCGAGATTTCAGGCAGAGAAACCTACAGAGCTGTAACGTACTATGAATTTACAGAGCTCTCAGGTACAGGGACGCACAGAGATTTCGGGTAGACAAACTTACAGAACTGTAACGTATTATGTATGTATAGAGATTTTCAGGTACAGAGACGTAAGAAGATGACGTAGAGTATCCAGCTGTATAGACACACAATTTATTGTCGAATAAATGATTCACTTTGGAGATAATTATATTATATAAATTCCACTCAATTTTTAGAGTGGAATTTATAGAATTACTGACAATTAAACGGAAATTGTAATGAAAAAGTTTAGATTGTATGAAATAAACATTCAAAGTTGAAAGAATATTGTTAGTTGAAAGAATATTATTGCACGCATAGAGAAATTAATTCTGAAACTCCATGAAATTATTAAGTCGTGTTATTTAATAAAGTTACTCAACAAACTTGTTCCAATCCTAATGAGCTGCTGGTTTGTTGTACCAATAAATTTATTTATGAAATGAATTTCCGGTGCGTGACTACATAAAATATCATTCACATCAAGTTGACAATGAACATTGACATCAAGTTGAAAGCAGTTGATGAGCGGCCAGAATAACCAAGTTTAAACCGAGCTGGTACAACCGCTTTCATAATATAGTTAGTTACACTGAGAGCAACCATTTCTCGCACATTTAAAATTTTCCTAAATACGAGTACAATTATAACTCACTTTCTATAGTAGTTCACACAATAATTACAATATTGTATATTTTGTTCATTAGGGGAAAAATAATTTAATATTTTTTTCTTTTCCATCTTGCATTACTCCAATGCATGAAAAATTTTCCTACCGATAATATTGTAACTGGATTGTTGCTATCTTTATTTCAAAAGATAATTTAAGCAATTAGCACCACCGAGATGAGAAGTCAGTAGAAATCAGAGCTCGTATTTTTATATTTTATCATCTCATCGCAAAGCAAAACAAATGATCGTCTCAAAATAAACTGGTTTGCAAGTTGAATGGCCGGCAGAGTTCCTCGATAGCCAAAAGTCGCTCACCTTGTATAGAGCTCGAAAATGACGTCGTTTGGAACAGGTTTTCGGACTCGAACATTCAAGTCATCGGGAAAGAATTCGGCGTCGCTGAAACTTGAGATGTTGAAGTGATCGTCTCCAATATCAGGATCATTGCATTCCTCGTCGACGTCTTGAAGAGGGACCAACTCTGGTCTAATGATCTTCACGAGATCTGGGAGGGCGAAATTGAATTAACAAGGATCCGTTCAGTTTTCATGAATGTTTTTTTTTACATTTTATTTCACGCATGTCACAGCGGAAACAAGTGAAGGATTCTGTAGATGGTTATACGTCAGATGTTTTTCCATACTCACTCGCTATCACTGAAATTATTGCAAAAATTGACTGCATTTTAACACTCGTCGTCTTCCTTGGAATAAACTTCAATCCGAACCTAGAAAAATACCTACAAAGTGCGGAGAAAGCAGTTAAATAATTCAAAGTAGGAACAAGAATAAAATATAAAAATTGTTCGCGAAGATAACTGAAGGCAAATGCACAGCTCAGAAGTTATTTGGAGCGCAATCACGTCCACGGACACGAAATGACAAATGCAGCACGACTCGTTCCCACACGCTATTTGTAGCGAAGCCAAGCGTTTATGATGGAAGAGACGAGGATGTAATTGCCATAATAAACACATATCGATTGTTACGGGACGAGCGGCGCTATAATAAACACACATAGATTGTTATAAGACGAGTGACTATTGGCGCTTTAATAAAACACACATCGATTGTTAGAAGACTAGTGACTATTGGCGCTTTAATAAACACACAATCGATTGTTATAAGACTAGCGGCGCTATAATAAACACACATCGATTGTTATTAGACAAGCGGCGCTATAATGAACACACATCGATTGTTAGGAGACAAGCGGCGCTAGAATAAACACACATAGATTGTTAAGAGGCAAGCGGCGCTATAATAAATGCACATCGATTGCTATTAGACAAGCGGCGCTATAATAAACACACATCGATTGTTAGGAGACAAACGAAGCTATAATAAACACACATCGATTTTTATGAGACAAGCGGCGCTATAATGAACACACATCGATTGTTATAAGTCAAGCGGCGCTATAATAAACACACATCGATTGTTAGGAGACAAACGGAGCTATAATAAACACACATCGATTGTTAGGAGACAAGTGGCAATAGAATAAAAAATACATCGATTGTTAAGCAACGTCGATTCCATTATCCGTGCATATATTATTGTCTAAAATTTTTCTGTCCTTGAAAGTATATCAGTTTTGAATTGAGGATTTTTGATAAAAATATATATATTTTAAATGTTGGATAATGAGAAACTCAGAAATGATGAGAGAGGCCGTAGCTCACTGTTGATGAACCCACGTTATAGTGTAATAATTGATTCAAGAGTTAAATTTGTAGAATTGAAGTTTCATTTAATGATTGAAATTCGATGCAAGGCGTTCATTTTATAGTCATGCATCATTCACCTTGAAATGTTAAAATTCACTAATTTTTTTACGACATCACCAATAGAGGGTAAAGATGTAAATCGATTGTTATTAGACAAGCAGCGCTATAATAAACACAAATCGATTGTTATTAGACAAGCAGTGCTATGATAATCACGTCGATTGTTAATATTACCAAGAACGTCGATTCCATTATCCGTGTTTACGTGTATTATTGTCTAAAAATTTCCTGTCATTGAGAGTATATCAGTTTTGAATTGAGGATTTTTGTAATAAAAATATATATATTTTTGAATGTATGAAAATGAAGACTCCGAAATAATGATAGAGGCAGTAGCATCGAACCCACGTAATGGTGTAATAATTGATTCTGGAGTTTAATTCCTGGAATTGAAGTTTTAATGATTGTACCACAATGCAAGGCGTTCATTTTATAGTCATGCATCATTCACCTTGAAATGTTAAAATTCACTAATTTTTTTACGACATCACCAATAGAGGGTAAAGATGTAACTCTAATGCTACCTCGGTTCATGAATAATTAAAGTTTCTGAATGAAAAGACTTGCCTGCCTAATTAAACTTATTAAAATCTTAAGTAAAGCAAGCAACACATTGACAACTTTCGCTCTAGAAAAAAGTTTATTAATTTTTTTTTCTCTAAAAACATCAAGTCCTTCATACTTGTTAAATTTCAAAACATCTCAATCATTGGGAGAGATTAAGCTACCTTTTTAATGAGATTTTTTCATGCGCGGATGATGAGGGTTCAAGATAATCCGAAGTTTTTTTATGAATAAAAGTTTTTTTTTACGAATTGTTGAGTAGTCTACGTTATGTTAGCTTGAGAGCTACCAGCTGTAAGTACCGATGCAATAAGACTATTATTGCAGCAATCGTCCATGTTAAACCATAAAGCAACAACCACAAACCCACAAAGGTAACACCCATCATTTCTCGTCCCACAGTATTCTGATTTTCTTCTAAAACCTGCAGTAATAATATGCACACCTGCAGATATAACATCCATTTATTGCATGTACGTATGTCGTCATAATCTTATTTAAAGGCTTTATTTCAGCCTAAAAAATTTCCTTACATGACAAGCTTATGAAAAATATTTAATGCTTCATGATATGCAATATTTCTTATATAATTACCCGACTGATACAAATTAAGTTGGATTTGAGTTCGGAAAAGGTTTATGGGAAATAACAATATAGATAAATATTCTGCTGAGGTTGGATCATATCTTTAATGCCAGTATAAATGGATATTCTGTTGAGGTTGGATCATATTTTTAATGATCGTATATATAGATATTCTGTTGAGGTTGGATCATATTTTTAATGATCGTATATATAGATATTCTGTTAAGGTAGGATCATTTTTTAATGATAGTGTATATAAATATTCTGTTGAGGAATGATCATATTTTTAATGACAATATATATAGATATTCTTTTGAAGTATGATCTTATTCTTAATGACAGTATATTTAGATATTCTGTTGAGATTGGATCATATTTTTAATGCCAGTATATATAGATATTCTGCTATTTTTAATGACAGTATATATAGATATTCTGTTATTTCTGATGACAGTATATATAGATATTCTGTTATTTTTAATGACAGTATAAATAGATATTCTGTAATTTTTGATGACAGTATGTATAGATGTTATATTACTTTTAATGACAGTATTTAAAAATATTCAGTTATTTTTAATGAGAGTATAATAGATATTCTGTTGAGGTATGATCATATTCTTAATGACCCATGTAAGCGCTATCCCTGCTTTGTATGGCACGCGTCTGCTACACTCTTTATATGAGAGCAATGACCCAACGGCACAACTGAGGTAATGGTTATTACCGTCATTACGACACTGATGTAAAACGTGTCTTTCTGGCCGACGTGACCAGAGAAAAGAAACTCAGGACGTTGCGGTCAAGTTTTGTGTAAGGGATTCTAAATATCGTCTCTAAATTATAATTTTGTTCCCTCAGCTTCTTTTCATTATATGTTTTTCTGAATAAGAAGATAAGGCATTATATCACATTGCAATATATTGCCGATGTTTACCTTAGCATTTTTCCGGTGAATAATAACGGTCATCGTGAAATTCAATTGTGTTCGTACGAGAATTGTTCTTTGTCTCTTCAAGGGAAAATATTATGGAATTTTCTACGAAATCGTATCTGAATGCCGAACAAGCTCGTTTTTTTTTTAAGTTAACATTTTATGTAAGTAATCCTGTTTTCTCTTTGCCTATTTTTTGCGTTGGTACTCATCCATTTGTTCGCAGAATTTTACTAAAATTTAAGATATAATTGTTCAGTTTGGATTTTTCTTACCATTAGTTCACGACTGGTAGTATGAAGACAATTATATAATTAATAATCAACATCAAAAATTAACTTTCAACAGATTGAAGAGGTGCCTATTTAGCGACGTTACTTCGCTTCGACACCAGTGTAATTAATAACCGAATCGTGCACAAAACATTGAATAGAAATAAAAACTTTGACAATTATCAAACGCGCGACTGAATAGCGTTTTTAAAGCTGCATAATTGCAACCGAGCTCTTGTTTTTCTCACCAGACGGAAGAGATGCATCATCGTGTCTAATTTTCCATGCTTAGCATAAATGAAGTAAAAAGTAAATGAAGCTATGTATATCGGGGTAAAATATTAGCGATGGGTGATTAAATTACTGTGGACATATAAGTGATTTAAGCGTAAAAAACCTGTGTAAACATGTAAAAGTCTTGTGTTACTTGCTGAGCAGAAAGACTATGGAAACTGATACTTGTTGCCAGTCATAAATCTGTCCAGAGAAAGCATAGCATTGTAAGATTTCTCGAGAAGACGACGACTTCATCGGGCTGGGAAAGATATCACCATAGAAAAGTTCGGGCGGCGGCCAAACTTTGCGACGGCAAAGTTACTTTAAATTCACGATGAGTCCGGGCAAAGCCACGAGCCCGTCTGTGGTCACCGGCAACTTCGGAATCCCGGATCTCCGGACGCAGCTGGACGGAATCTTAAGCGGGCCAGCGGCCCGATCCGGAAACCTGGTTAGCCCTTTATCGGGGACGGAGGCCTGAGCCATTCTGAAAACCGGAGATGGAGTTCATTTCCATTTGTTTGCGATATGAAAACAAAAAATATCAATATGAAATAGTGATACTAACTAATCGTTAATGCGCTGATACATTTTTCTATATAATTTTTTGAGGGTTCTAAATTTTATGAAATAAATGTGCGAGTTATAATTTGACAATTTTCTTGTAGAAGTTGACGATTTTGCATCAGGAGCTGTCGATAGTAGGGTATAAGTTGACAATGTTCTACAGGAAGTTGATAATGTTGTGCTTGATATTGTATGACGGTGTTATAAGGGAATTCACAGTTCCTAAACATAAAGGAAAAATTAATGACGCAGTAAAGATATTACAAAATTAACAGACACATTTAGGGAGATACTGTATCAAGATATACTACTAATGAATAATTTTCCGTGTAGGATACACATGAAACTCTGAAAATGTATGGACAATTACCTATTTTTCGTTTCGTGATAACTCTTAAACTGTGAGAGGCTTGTGATTGAACCTCTAGGCTAAAATTGCAACAAGCGACATTGCGACAATCTATACATGAGTAAATACTTTTTTTGCAAGCATTACCAAGGCGCAACAGAATTGAATATCGAAAAACAAAAAAAGTTGGAACAAAAAAATTGTACTAGACTTTAGACCTCAGACTGGATATAAGGATTCTTACATATGGATCGGATGCTTATAAGGAATGTAAATATTATTCCACAACATTTCCTGCACATTTACTTGAAAAAACATGACTTGTAGCAAGCTTTCAAACGCTGGTAATGAGCTTTCATCTCAGCCATCCTGTAAAGAAGATAACGTGTGTCAGATGATGTGACGTAATTAATGTAATTAATAATGTAATAATGCAATTCGAAAAAAATAAAATTACATTTGCGCAGTTAGGGTTGCTGCTATCTTCCTGGAGAATTGGCCTGGTCAAAATTTATCTTAGAACCGGAAGCAAAAATGTAAGATTTTCTTCAAATCAAAAGATTCTAGGAATTCAGCTTGTTTTGATAAAAAAAACTTCTCGCGTGAATGTAGGCTGAATAATTTTCTTAATTTTAAGTGGCTCATAAGGATACCCCAGCATAGATTATCAGGATTAACTCAACTGAAAATCGTCCGGTGTGTGCAGTTCTTACATGAAAGCATTTACTTAAAAGAAGCATCTGTTTGCTTCAATCTTCCATAAATGACTAGTTTAAGAGTAGTATTCATTGCCCTCAAATGACATAACAAATAATGAGAATGCATTTATCTCCAATGGTGGATCAACCGAAAAAGAGTCAAAAAGTACATATTGTGATACAGTAATTTTCTGTCTAAGTCACATTCTTTAATATTTTATATCCATTCGTTTGAGAATTTTTCATTATCGTTTTTATAAAAAATATTGATCTGACAAAATTCCAAGCACCCACTACCAATTTTGGCAGAAAATGACAGCCGAAACCACCTTAACATTATTCAATTCCCGTCACGAAAATCTGTTACTCTAATCCGCTAACTCGATTTCTCTTCAAATGGTCATCATCATATTCATTCTTTGTCAATCCAGAGATTTTCGCGCGGGCTATGAATTTTGAACAGATCTTAAAATTGAAATCCTAGGCAAGGAAGCCTCTGATCTCAAAATTGATGAGTGCTATCGCGTTGCCGCGGTACAGCGACTCTTCGCATCGAACAGCACCGTCTCGTTACTGCAATGAGAATTAATGTTTCGTCTGAATATTACAACTTAATTTCAACAGTTGTGTTCAAATTGAATAAACTGAGTCTTATTCAATATTTGCTTCACAGTATAGTCGATGTAGCATTTCATAAAGCTGTGATCTTAAATAATAAAATCAACGAGTTGAGACCAGCAACACGAGCTAAAATTTCGTAAAATTACGTTAAGGAAAGAATTGTAGCGTGATAAAATCTCTATCTGCTTGTCGAGTGGTAGAAATAAATTCTGGAATAAAACACTACTAACGCGGAAAAAATTTCCCTTGAGTCTTGCTCAGATCAATTGCGTTTAAAAAATTCTAATTTAATCAATCGGTCTCAATTATCATTGACATCTGCTGTACTGTTTTTGACCTCTAACATTTTTACCTCAATTTTTAACAGTGATTTGAATATCACTATTTAAATTGTGAGCTTGTTCCTCACAACCGATACACAAATTTATTTTAGTATTGTTTCGATACATGACAAGCTCAAATGAAATTAGATAACAAATTTTGATCTGAAAATTCAGACGAGCCAAATATTTTAAGAAAGTGAAGACTAAAATTATCAAACTAAAAAATGGATAAATGAAAGAGGCAAAAGTAACTCAAATTTATACAGTTATTCGCGTCAAAAAGGTTGGTTATTCGATTTATATAGGCTGTGATGAAGTTCATGAACAACAAGAGAAAAACATGCCGAAATGTATATTATTTGGGGGTTTGGAGACTTGATAAATCCCAAGAGAATAGAGTTAGAAACTCGATTTCCCGTTGGAATAGATGGCAAAGCCTACGTTAAAGCCTCCTCTGTAACATCGCCAATGTTGTCAGGTTTTTCAATGCGGTAGGCTGTTTTCTGTTTATTCGATACATTTTAATTTCATTTGCGATGAATGATGGGTTCAACATATGAGAGAATTTTCCCGATTGCAAAAAAAATTAGATCCTTTTAATGTATTGCAACGTATTTTTAAAAATTGATTATGAATTGATTGATAGTATGCATTAGCGTTGGAGCATATCACCTCTTGTTAAACATAGCTTCTTCTATTGAACAAGTTTTTTATGATAAATGTATGGTCAAATGAGGTTTGGAATTTGACAAATAGGGCCAAAAATTGTAGCGTATTTTAATGCTTCAAGGTTAATGTTATATATATTTTAAATGTCTTCAATTCCAGTTTGCGACCAATTATACCTCTTCCCCCAAAAATAGGAAAGAATGAGATCCAAGGATGATCATTTTCTAACTGTAAATTAGGTTTGTTCTAAAATGAAAGGTCTATGCAGACAGCCAGTATTTGATGTGAACAGGCGCGACTTCTCTCCTTCATACCTGCGTGACTGTGCAGTGCAGAGGTTCACAGTTATATATAAAATGTTGACACATTGAGGTGACTCAGTCATGTTATAATGTTTATTCATATGTTTCGTCTGCCCAAAACTAACGAAGATTGGTTGAGAGAAGCATTTCAGAATTCAATCAAATGGAAGAAGTCGATAACCATGAATGGAAATATTGCCAGGTGGATAAATAATCGTTGATAACACCTCGTTAGTTTTATAAACCGACATAAGTTCATGCAAAACAATCAAGCGAACGGTTCATCAGCGTCTGTGGTGATTATTCACCCGTTATACAAAGCGATCATCTAAATCGGCCCGGACCATATATCAGTGTCAGTATTTGGAGACTGCGCAGCGGTCTGTAATAAACAGATGATCCTAAAATCCTATCATAATTGCTAGAGGCGTTGGATGTTAATTAATCTTTTGTTCCCAGTGAACCTGAACGCAGTTTATTACCTAAGCAATAACTGCTGCCGAAATTAAAAGCTCAATGCGAATTATATCCATATGCAACCGATACGAATACTTTAAAATATCGCGTGAAATCGTTCACCCAACAAACTTTGGGTCAATCCATCTTTTGATGATTTTGAGGCTCATGTTCATGTTGCAATATAAAGTTTTCGAAGGGGAACTTTAAATTTTAAGATTTCAGATTTCGAGCTGCGTTGCGCCTCTTGCGACTGATGGAAGCAGATATTCTTTGACTAGAGTCTTGCTTAATATTTTATTTTTTTTCTCTGTTGGTAAAGTAAATGTGAAGTGAGAAGTTAAAGGTCAAAGTGTTTGGGGAAAAGCAAGAGAAAAATTGCATCTTTTAGTGTCCATTCATTTGAATCTAGTGAAAAAAACACTTTGTGAGGCTCTGAATAAAATAATTGTACTATAAAAGGCGATTATTAAGATTTGGTAAAGAATCCAGGGCTGCTTGTGAGTCGATAGTTATTTTCTTCGACAGAAACTCAGGTCCCATCACTTCGACTCAGGTCTCATCACTTGTTTTGTCTCGTTGAGATGTTCAGGGAAAGTTCCAAACTTAAACTCATTTTCAGTCTTTATAAGAAGTTTACTTTACGCTTTTATATGTTAACTCACTTATATTCATTGTGGGAGGCTTATTTATAAATCTCTACTCCTCATTCCCCTTGCGAAGGAGGTTTAATTTTATGCTTGAAAATCTTCACTCATTACTCTACTTTTGTGGGAGGTTAATTTCCGGCTTAATAATATTCACTCCTTATTCCACTTGTATAAGTTTTTTTTAAAACCTTACAAATCTTTAGAAGTTATTTACCCTTTGTAAGAGGTCCGTCTCGACTGCACTTGTGCGCCATAGGAGGTTCACGGGTTAATAACATATAGACTATATCTCCAGTATTAGCCCAACATATAATACAATAATTTAACCTCAATTTCAACAATTCAAGAGAAAATACCAGGCAACCTGAAAAAAATGAATCTTTATACTTAAAATAAGAAGCAGTGCATAACATATAAGGAACTACAGAATACATTTAATATATTAGAATTCTACTGAATTTGAGAAGAATTGTTAAATTGTTAATTGGCGTGCCATGCATGGGTCCAGAGTTATAATAAGATCCAGAAAAATATATAAATAACCTTTCCTAATTGAATGAAACTAATTTAATTCGGAATGATTAGCAACCAGCGTAATTAGTTAGATTTTCGAACGCTAATTGAAGTAATTAGCTTGCGTAGCAGAGTGTCCATAGCGATAATTAACATAATCAGCGCGGTGAGCGTAATTTTGTGAGCATAATTTATGATCGTTTTTCCGGAAAATATTTAGCGCTCACAAAGGACATCATGTGTCCATTGTTTACAGGGGTTTACCGCCGTCTTCTCATTAATTTTCCAGACCGTAAAGTGGGACAGTTTTTTTGGGAAATATTGAAATTTCAGCATGAAATGAGGAAGGTATTGGTATTTTTAACTTTCAAAGAAACTCCTGAGGAACTGATTTCGCTTCATCAAAGGAATAAATTGAACTATAATATATAAATTACTTTTTCTCATTATTGGTTACTTGTGATCTGATCGAGGTGCATTCCTACTTGCTGAAATGATGAAAAATATCGCTTAGAGATGCGTGCTTTCAAACATTGCTTTTACTATATTTTTAAAGCAGAACTTTGATTATTTGCAAGAAAAATATTTTTTAACTCAACAACTCAAAGAAACGCAATCTTCAAATGCATGGATTCGTTAGCTATCACAGGAACAAAATGGCATGAACAAGTATCCGAGTTAATAAATTATATTCTTTTAGTAGATTGAACCACGGCTTGTATTAATGTTGAATTAGAAATATCAATTATGCTGAACGGAGCTGACGTTTATATGGTAATGAGATGCAACTCGCATAATGCGTTATGTCCATGCTTATTAGTCTATGCATGGATCAGGCGCTATGCATGCTGATATGATACGTGCTGATGTGATGGGTGCTGATATGATGCGTGCTGATATGATGCGTGCAGAATTGATGCGTGCTGATATGATGCGTGCTGATATGATGCGTGCTGATATGACGCGTGACGATATGAGTTTGAGTGCTAACACACATAAGCGGGGTGTGGCTCGCCGTAAGCCATAAAGTAATTTAACCTTTTCGTTCGTAGGAAGTTAATTTCAGAGAATTTTTCTTCACCAGCGTTGTGTTATTACAAAACCTTTCATGAGTTTAGCCGTATATACAAAGTAAATGAGATTCTTGGTTTCTTTGAACCTTGTATTTTGTTTAATGCTACGATTAATATTTCCGTAGAGGAGTATGAGGTATGGAACGTTTGAAGGAAGGTACCATAGAAGTTTTTATCATAATAACCCAGCAGGCATCTGACGTTAAAACAACATTGATTATTGATTGATTTCAGGTTGAAATGTTGAACAACCAAAATTAAACGTCATATCAATGTCGAAATCTAACCAACACAAGAAGGGACGTAAAACTTCAATGCTTCAATTTTCATTCTAAACCTCCTTTCACCATGATCTCAATATCGTAGTGCGGAGTTGATTCAACGTTGATTCAACCACCGAATGCCTGCTAGGAAGCGTCTGCGTCGTGCCCGCGCGAAATAGCCCTAACAAAATTTAGAGTCGCCCCAGCTTCTGGTAATCCAAATCAGAAGCTGCCGCGTCTAAATTTTCACTGGAAACTCACAGTATAGCGCTTACTTATTCAAGGTGCAGTTGAGATGCACTCAGCGCCACCGGCTGAAATTATTGAACTTGTCTAAAGTTCAAACAGAGCTCTAAGCCTTTATTTAGGGTACAAGTATTGAGAGACCGCGAGACATGAAGGTGATGGAGGTATTTTTTAGCGCATTTTCTCATTTATGGAAAAAATGCGCTATTATGCTCGTCATGTCCGTTCGTCCGTCTGTCCGTGACTTTACGGACGGACGGACGTGAAAATGCGCTATCTGTCACTCACTGCAGTGCGTAAAGATCTAATTTTTTATTTATACGATTGTTTTTATTAAATCGAAAATTATCTACGAAATGAAAAACAAAGACTCTGCCAATTAAAACATTGAAAACTCGAGATTTTCGTCTTAAAAGCTGTCTCCATTGATTATGTATTAGATGGTCTGCACTTAACTGATTTACTGAACACATCGTGATAATAACTCGGCATTGAACTGAATGGACGTTTCGTATTTTATGCAACTGTAATGAACTAAATGATTGAGCAGTAAGGAAAGTAAGGAAAGCAAGGAAAGTAAAGGTAAGTAAGTTTTTCCTTGACCATACATTGACCGATGCGCTGAACTAACTGTTTCTAACACCTCCTGATTAAACCTATACATTGAACTAACTGATCGAACACATCCTGATTATACCTCTGCACTGAACTAACTTTTAGAACACCTCCTGATTATACCTCTGCACTGAACTAACTGATCGAACACCTCCTGATTATACCTGTTCATTGAACTAACTGATCGAACACATCCTGATTATACCTCTGCACTGAACTAACTGATCGAACACCTCCTGATTATACCTATGCACTGAACTATCTGATCAAACACCTACTGATTATACCTCTGCACTGAACTAACTGATCGAACACTTTCTGATTATACCTCTGCACTGAACTATCTGATCAAACACCTACTGATTATACCTCTGCACTGAACTAACTGATCGAACACTTTCTGATTATACCTCTGCACTGAACTAACTGATCGAACACCTGGTGATCATACCTCTGGACTAACTAACTGGTTTAATATCCCTCGATTATTCCTCTTATTTAGTTAGTTGAGCTAAAGCTTGAGCTCGCGTGCGATACATTAAGAAGCGCCTTGCTAAATTGGCCATTCGTTGTAAACGGAGTTGCATGCCACGCGAATTGTTGATCGTGAACGCTTTTTTTAAAACAATTTTGAACTATCTTAGATGCTAAAGAGGCGATCTATTGGCATACATGATATAAATAACAATAAATAGTAATTGAAAGACGCATTCTATGGCAGAATTTTTTTCTTTTTAGAAAAGCGCAAATTATTTTTAATTAGGTGATAATTTTGCGAGTTAAATAACCACTCGGATCTCTTGGTAGTTTATTGAGATCAAAGTTAATTAAGCAAAATACTGAGGGGAAGTATTGCAAAAATTTTTCAGGTTTGATAATAATGAAATTATTCCTCTAAAGCCGACTAGAACATCTTGTTCTCTATTATTATTCTTTCAAATTATTTATATATTGGTATTCCTTTAAATTATTCCTCTATTATCATTCCTTCAGATTATTAGTCTATTAGTATTAATTTAAATTATTCCTCTTTTCTTATTCCTCTATTATTATTCCTACATATTTTTCATCTAAATCCAACTAGAACGTTGTGTCTAAATCGTGTTTCATTTACCGCATTAATTATCAACTATGATGGCACTTTTGGAAAATGTCAATGTAAAGGGAAATTCTTAACCAAATTTTACTTTTTGTGTTTCTTTAAATCAATTATTTAACAATAAATTAATCGACAACTAGGCATAAAAATGCGTATAGCACAATATTAATATTATAAAAAATTATTTTTGAACAAACAAACTGAAAGTTGAAGTGGTGTGTGATCGTATATAAATACTTATATGTCAAATTGTCCAGCTCCTTTACTATTATTGATAAAAATGTGTATCTGATCTACGAATCAGATTCACTATCTTTCAAGGGATATTTGAATTATTGAAAAACAATTACTCGCTCAACTTATACGAATCGCAATTAATAAAGTATTAATTCTTTACTCATCACTAAACCAATTAGTTACAACCTTATTAATTGTAAGAACTTAATTATAAATGTTGTTCCATTTTTCACTGGTTTTATGATTCCGAAATAAATTATAAGTTCGTATAAAAACATGGATCATTTTAGTTACCTTATATCTTTTTCCCATTGGTATTCTGCCTCACCTGGGCTCAAAAGACAAATGTTCTCAAGGGCTAGACAGATATGGGACGTGACTTGTCCCTACAGGTCCCTTTATTTAGGGACTGTAAAGGTTTTTATCTCGAGACGACCACCCCTAACAAAATTTAGAGTCGCCCCAGCTTCTGGTAATCCAAATCAGAAGCTGCCGCGTCTGTAAATTTTTACTGGGACTCGCTTGTCGCAATTATTGAAGCCCAATTAGAGGAGAAGGCGCCATTGGAGTTCGCATGAGCGTCGACTGTCGAGATTTGAAAATATTAATGAAAACAAGTTCAATTTATTAAGTTTTATTAAAAGTTCATGTATTTGTATGTGAATTAATTTAGGGATTTTCGACAATTTACATATCATATGAAGTCATGGAACTTCTATGAAGATACATGATATGCTATATGCTTCTCACGACAATAAGCATGTATTTGAATGCTTTTACCCATTTAATATGATAAACCTAGATAATTTAGATATGCTTAAGTCTACTTATTCGAAGGTCAGCCTCCAATGTAATAAATTAGTTTAATTTGCTAATGAAGTCTCATTAAGAAGGTCTATGTAACGATAGCACGAGCTCATGCACGATATAAGGCAGCGATGTCTGCCGCTTGGCTGCGAGCCTGATTTTTTTTAATGCG